ACCAAGGGCAAATGAGACGCGAGAGCGATTGAGAGAGGGGCGCACCTAGGGAATATGAGACGCGAGAGAGGCACAGAGTCGAGGGCAACGAAGTAATAGATGCACAAAGGAACAGACCGTGAGGTCGAACACGTGGTCGTGTTTGATAGAAATTTTTATCGGATTATTACGATAATCTGCAGTGTCGCAGTAACCAAACACATCTGCTAGTGTTTTCAAAATGCACCGCACCAAATAAGCTACCTCAAACAGGCGCTAAAGAGCCACTAATCCACAAATATAAATAAATCTAAAGCATCCAAAAACAATAACATCTAAAATAACATCTCAATCTAATACTGAACAATAGTGAACAATAGATCAATATCTGACAGAAACAGTAAAAAGACACTATCATCATAAAAATCCCTAACAATGCTCCTCCTCTGATAGACTAAATCTCTCATATTAAACATATAAATCTAAAATTTTTCTTCTCCTGAAAGAAAGCATTTAACTACAACTGTAAGTAAAACTTAGTAAGTATAATCTAATATATATTAAATATTTTTGCTATTTCATGTATGAATGACCAACAAAAAATGCAGTTAATTTCAATAAAACTTTAAATTTATCGCTTCTCATTCTACTTTAAGTATTCACCGTTTTTAACAAGTTTGATAGTCATTATAGGATTACTATCATACTCGAAGGTATCATCAAAATGGGCTCGAATACACCCTCGAAATCGTAAATAAAGGTAGCCTTAAATTGTACCCGAAAGTATACATTTACAATTTTCTTTAACGTGCACGAGTACATTGGATCCCTCAAGTAGAGTCTAAATGTAATCCTGTATAACTTAAACATTTACTTATCATTTCATTTCCTTTAAATTATCTCTTTTTTAAAGAATTTAAATAATCATTTTCTCTTTCCCATTCATTTCATTTAATTCTTAAGTTACAAAATGAATACAATTTTAAAATAATTATCTAAAGCATTAATGAAGTTCTTTATTTAATAAATTTTAAATTTAATATATATAAGAGAATAATTACTCACTGTGCTTAACTTGCTTGCTACACAGACTCCTGACCTTCTATGTTTAAATGTGGTTCAACCTAAATTACAGTTAAATATTAATTTTTTATTAAATATCAATTCCTAATTAAATTAAACTTTTAATTTAAAACATACCTTATATTTTAAAATTATTTGTCCTCTTCCTCAAATCCAAAGGATTAGGCGACCTTCTATCTCACTTCATAACAAGAATAAAGCTTAATAACATTAATTAATTTAGCTAATTACGTGATTAATTTCATTAATAACATAAGGTTTAACATTTACCTTATAGGCTTTGAGATCAACTCCTCCCTTGCTACACAATCATCTCCTTCAAAGTAGAAATTCCTCTATTAAAGTCTCGATTCAATATGGCATTGCATTAAACACTCACATACTCCCACAAATTCATTAAACACTTTAATAAACTATAAAAAAACTTAAAATCTTTTGATTGACAATAATTCTTCCCCTTCCCTCACCTGAATTTCATGTCACTTCATTAGCTAAATTTTTTCTTAATTTATTAGTTTCAATCCTAATATCACATATAATTAAGCTTAAACTTTAATTTTTTTTGAAAAGGAAAAATTCAATGATAAAAAGAGAGGATACAAAAGTTTTAATGAGTGAGTACAAAGAACTCAACTCACAAAGATTAGAAACGTATTCCTAAAAAATAAACAAAAAGAAACAACTTCTTATCATTGTTGGTTTAGTTGGCAGATATATCGCTTCCCCTTCCCCTGGATCTAGGGAGAGAGTCCAACAACATACTGAGATGTGGTTTCGACACAATGATACAGTCATCCTGAGATTTGCTGAGATCTGACAATCCTTTCTTCTTCTTCCGAGATTTGTAAACCTGGCAATCATCTACCAGAGATAGTCCCGTGTGAACAATAGGTGGATCTTCGATGGAGGTAAACTGTTGATCTGGCTCAGCCTGCAGCACACCTTGATCATGACACTCCATAACTTGAGTACCCTCTTCTCTCGCAATAGGTGCTTCGAAGACACTAGGATTTGATATATATATATATATATATATGCAAAAATATAATTAAATAACATAATAACTTGTAAAACTAACCTAATTCAGCTTAATCGGCCTGCCCTACTCACGCAAGCCCAGCAACAACACAGGTAGCCTTCTCTTCTTCTCCCTCATGTGGTTCGAAAGCCCTAATTGCATGCACGGGGTCGCTCCTCCCTTGGCTTCTTCTTCCTCTTTGACTTCTTCCACCGCACGCCAGCACAGTGTTGCTCCTCCTCTTCTTCGGCCCCTTCTCAGCCTAATAGAGCGTGCGAGCTTCGATTCCATTCTCCATGTCTCGTCTTGACCCGACGTGCTTGCCTTTACTTCTATGCAAAGCCGCAGGTCACCTCTCCTCCTTCGCTCAGTTCGACGCAGACAACCCCCACTTACGCAAAGGTCGCCAACTCCTTCCTCTACACACAAGCACAACATCGATGCCTTCTTTGGCTAAGGCTTAGGGTCGAAATAGGTAAGAGAAATACGACTCTCTTATTCTTCTTCTCCTTTCACTGTCATTGCTTCCTTTTCTTGTGGCTTCGATTCCTCTTACTTACTCAGCTAGGGCATGGCCTCTTCTTTGACTTCCTTTTCTAGCTCTATTTCTTGCTCGCTCATTTGTTTTGAATGAAGGGGATCGTAGAGTGTGCATTAAAACTGTTATAAGGGGTGCAAATCCTCTAATCGTCGTCGCCTTTTTTTTTGTTATATATTATTATTATTATTATTATTATTATTATTATCCCTTTTATTAAAATTTTAGTTATTATATGATTAGAGTTTAAGGTCGGAGGGGTGAGAGGTTGTGTAGGGATTATGTAGGGTGGGAAATAATTTTTGGGTGGTGGCTTAATATGATTAGAGTTTAAGGTCGGAGGGGTGAGAGGTCCTTGAAAAAATCAGTAAAGAGAAAGGGTGCGGGGTGGAGATTGGATTGGGTGTTGAGTGGATGTTAGAAACTCTGTGATAAGGCCAGACTTATGCCAACTCTGATACCAAATAACACCGAAGTTACAACTTTATTATTGAAATCAAATAGAAGTAACGATAGGAAATAACAAAAAACACAAAACACAAATGTCAAACAAGGGCTTTGGTCGAGAGTGGTGGGAAGCCTGCGGTAGGATTGTTGCTCTTGGAAAAATAGAGGGTTGGAATGTGGATGTGGCAGCAAAGAAGGTGAGGTGTCTGGGAACTGGGTTGTAGTAAGGAAGGGGAAGGCTGGTGACAGGGTAACTCCAGGAAGGAGGAGATGGCTGGAGAAAAGGGAGCAACATAAAAGAGAGGTTGGCTGGCGGCAAGGATCATAAAAGGGGTGTCACAGAACAAACAGTGGCTGGAAGGGTTGGCAGCAAGCAGAAGTTGTGGTTCGATTGTAAGCTGGTACAGGAAACTACAAGGGAGGAAAGGGGTAGGGGAGGTTGCAGTGGTTGTAGGAGCAGCAAAGGTGCTGTCCTTGGGATGGCAGCAACATTTATGGTGGTGGCGGAGGTGGAAGGAAGGTTGCGAAGGATGGAAAGTTGAAGATAAATACCCCCTCGATATTAAGGTACAACTGGAGCACCACTAGAACTTTTGGAGCGAATCACCTCCTCGAAATGAAATACAACGGAGCACCATGTACCCTTATATACAAACCTAGAAAAGAAAACAGGGGACGCCAATGAGCGTCCTAAAAAAGAACACGATAAAAACTAACCCTAAACTCTAAGAAAACACCATATACAATACTAGGTAATAAAAGGGAGCCTCGCTCCTCTTGGGCGGTAGCCCTAAACCTCCCGAAGGATTGGTCAGCCCCTCCTTTCGCCCAGCTGAACCTGTTCAAGATCCACCGGTCCAGGAAGCCCTATTCCATCGCGTCCCACGTCTAGCATATCTTATGGAGACGCTCAGCGTCATTCATGAAAGTGATGTAAAATTAATAAGCATATCTTAAGAAATTGGTATCTATGCAAATTTTAGCTGAAACATAGTTCGGATGACAAAATTCTCCAATTTTCAAAGAATGTGGAATCATAAAGATGTTATCGACGACAAGAATTATGGATTGAGAAAATGAATGAGTTAGAAAACATAAAAGACTACATCTACCCCATTTATGGCAATGTTTTTCACTTTGACTTTAGCCAATTTCCCTTTTTAAAATATAATGCAACGTCAAAAAAGTTCCAGTCATACCATAAAGAGTTAAAAGAAAAATTCCTGATACTTTTAAATAAATGGCGGAGGAAGATAGATATAAAAATTTGCTGAATTTTGAAGTTAACGGCACAATCGTTGTAGCAGTTCAAACTGGAGAAATAGCTCGTATGGATATTTGAAAGTAACACATAAAAATGTCAGCATATATTGACTAACTTAAAAATGCTAACACAATTCTTAGCTGACATTTTTACAATAGTTCTATAAGTTGGTCACACAATATTTGTTTCTACACACCCATCCCAATGTTTTTTTTTTTTTTTGGAAATTTACATACCAAACAATTTTTATGTATTTACATATCTAACACCTAAACTTTTATAGTTACATTCATAACACTTTGGTGTCATAAACCTATGCATAAAAAGTTGTATTTCACATTCAAAAAGTAGAAGTGCTATTTTTTATTTGATATGAAAATTTGATTGCTATGCATGTAAATGTGAAAGCTTTAAGTGTTAGATATGTAAATACATAAGAATTGTGTGGTAAGCACGTAAATGCCCCATTTGCTTTTCATATCATCTGTTATTTATTGTTCTGGAGTTTAGCCCTTCTCTTGCAGAATGATTGATACTAATAAAAAAAAATAGTCACCTAAATCAAAGGTATCTCATACCAGATGCACCATGTTTACACTTTTGCTAACTTCAAGAAAGTTCAATAAATTACGCTAAGAAATTTTAAATTATTGAAAGAATATAGTAGAAACCTGCTTAAACGGTTTCCTATGGTACGAAGTGATCAAATGACAATCCTCTGAAGAAGTGGATCTAATAATATGATCACGAAAAACTTCCAGAGAAGTTTGTTTTGTGTTATAAGACTTAACTTCAGCTCCAGAACAGTGAGCCAAGCATGCAAGTTTTCCAAATGTGATCCCTTCAGTTTTCACTTTCTCCAAAGGTTCACAGCAATCTAGCATGGACTCATCAAACCACCTCCATGGACCTGGATAAGAGATAATGAGGATAGCCGTTAGCCAAATGAGAAAGTTGATTAAACGGAGAAATTAAGAGAAAAAAGAAATTTTCTTTTATATAGAGCAATGGGCAAAAGGAGAATGGGACAAATTTATTTTAGGGGCATTTACATACATACCACACAATTCTTATGTATTTACATATCTAACAACTAATCATTCGTATTTACATGTATATCATGCAAATCTTTAACATAACATCAAAAATACTACCATCACTATCATTGTAAAATTGAATAACACCTTTTCATGCATAGATTTATGATATAAAGATGTCATAAGCATAAATATCAAATTTGGGTGTTAGATATTCATTGTAGAGGCTTGTGAGAAATGAATAGAGGAAACGAGAATCCCATTTTTTTTTTTCAAATTTCATTGAGTAATGGATTCAATTTAGTGATGGCACTCGAGAGCTATAATGATTTACTACTAAACTATTGAAACTTACATATTTGTCATTGAATTTTGAGCAGAATTAGAGTGCATATAATCGAATTCATACAAGAAGAAGAAATCATTTGAATGCCTTAAAGATGGACTCATTGGCTAATATTACGCACAATAGGAGACTAAAGAATTTAAATTTGCAGAAAAAAAAAATTAAAGGAGAACGAAGATCCCATATTTTTTAATACATTGCATCAAATGATGAATAATTTGTGGTGACAGTAACGAAGCAATACAATCCGCTTTATTAAAAGAAAGATCTCAACATTGAATTTCTTTTATGGGGATAAAGAAGGTATCCCTAAGATTTTAAGTAATTGAAGTTCTAAAGATAAAAGCAATTTGTTATACCGATATTTTAAATATAGAGTAATTGAAGTTCTAAAGATAAAAACTTCTAAATTGTAAAACTATAATGTTGATAACTTGTTATATTTTTGTTGAAGTAGAAGACAATGAGTGGGAGAAAGCGAGACTTACTTTGAACTTATTTTGATTTTAATTTTTTCATGTTCTAGTATTATACTTTGAAATCATAGTTTATGTTGATGATTTGAAGTTTGTATGACCCTTCTTAATTCCTGATTTGATGTCAGCATATTAACATATTTCTTCTTGGCATAATTTGGTTCCTTCTTACTTTGTTAGCATGATGACACGTAGTTTTTAATGTGTTAATATCTAAAATGTTAATATTACTTCTTAGTTTATACTTTGAAGTTTGTATAATGCTTCTTCCTTCATTAAATTGTTTGAATTGGAGGTTAACGCCATGACTTGTTTCCTGTCTCACAACAAAAAACACTCAATACCCAATAACATAATTTTAATGCTTAAAAATCACGAAAGTTCACAAAATTAAAGTGCGTTTATGGCATCATTTGGCTGTTTATTGGCCCCAAAAAGCCTAACAGTGTGTTTAGGAGGAAGCAATATTACGTCCGGATTTCGTTTATATGGAGAGCAGCTCCGATGAACCCAAATCTCTCTATATAAATGTCTTCCGAACATTATATTTTTCGTTTAGGAGAGCACTTCCTGGGTGTTTTTCTATGAAGTCTCGTTTCAATTAACTGGGGAAGAGGAAATGAGGAAATCGAAGTAGAGAAAGTGAGTTGGGAAGTCAATGGAGGGAGAGAAATCGAATAGTGGGGAAAATGTAGAGGGGGAGGAGAAGCAAGAGAGTCTAGAAGCCAAGTGGATAATTTCATGTATAAATTGTCGCGTAGGAGGAGCGGCAAAGGCTAGAAACAACTCATCTAAGAGTCGAACAGCAGTTGCACTACTAGGTTGAGTCGCGACTTCAACCGAAGCTCTCGTGCGTGTGGTATGAGAGTAGAGGAGTCGAGTGCGGATGCTCAAACCTGAGCAATCAAGCCGAAAGAGAAAAGCTTCATACGGAGACAGAAGGAAATCCCATGTGACCTAGCTGGCCATCAAAGAAGAGGAAAGGAGGAAACATAGCACATAGGAGGAAGAGGTGATGCGTTGAGTTTGGACTTGAAGCCAGCTTTCGTGCGAACCAGATCTCGCTAAGGGAAGAAGAAGTCTCTCTCTTGGATTAAGGTCTCTACCGAGGAACGTAAGCCTTAAATGTTTATTAAATTGATTTAATAATAGAACTTAATAATATAAATTGAATAGATTACTAAACGGGATTACACAAAGTAAATTTAATATGTAAATAATAAAAGCTAATAGTTTATTAAAATAATAAATAAATTAAATTTTATACAATGTTTATTTTAGACTTTCAATTTTTAGAATAGTTGACATCAAGCCAAATTAAATAACAATTTAATCTACATCAAGACGAGTACTAATACTTTTAATCTATGATAATATTTTGATTCTTCTCCACATAATGATATTTTGTACAAGTTTTACTTTGATTTATATATTTTTTCCTTTATTAGTCACATTGTTATAAACGTATGTAGCTACTTCCTATAATGCATTGATGTATGCCATATATAACATACTGAAATAAATGTGATAAGCATATAAATGATATATTTATATTGACTGTTTGTATGTGCATGACTAATTATGATGGACTTACTTCTTTATGGTATTAATGGGGAATGTAAAGGTACATGTGCACGTAAATTAAAAAAAAATATTGATATTGAAGTAACTTGAGTGATATAATTTTTATACGGTGCTTCGATGTTGGTCGAACAGATATAGAATAATAAAGATATGTTATTGATATAGTAAGATTCATTAAAAAATATCAAATATTTAGATTGATTTATTAAAAACTTAACTGACATGCATATTATTTTCTCCTTGTATTACTGTGGTTTAGGATGATAAATATTTACTAGTTTTATTTAAGCTTAATGTTATTTTAAATTAATATTTCAGTTTTAATTAAGTGATTAAAAGATGAGTAGTATAATGAAAAATATTTATAAAAGACGCGGACAACCAGTAGTAAGGTAAATTTAATTATATTATTTTAATTTAATTTGATTAGTAACTCTTTCATTTATTAAAAATTTGCTATAGAAAATAAATAAAGAAAATTTAATTCCCACCATATAACTGTCTATAACCGCCTTGGTTAATTCCAAACCTCGGGCTGAGTCGTGACATTTTTGGCGATGAGCAACTGTTGAACGACAAAAGCCAAAAATGGGGAGGCTGCCTTCCACAATTTTAGCATCATTTTGGGTGCAAAATGACATCATTACCCCTCAATATTTCCACAAATCACTTGCTTTGTCCCCACAAATACCCATCAACATCTTCCCCCTCCATTCTCTCTCGATGTGGCTTTAGAGCAGAATCTCAGTTCTTCTTCTCCCTTTCGTCCGTTCTCGGTATCGTCGCCTCTCGCTGCCTCTCGCTATATGTATCTCTCTTCTTTTGTTCTCTATAGGGGCGGCTGGATGGTTTGCATTTTACATTCTTCTTTTGTGCTTCTCAGTTCACCTGTTGTTGGTTGATTGTTTGTGTTTTACCTCTCTCTATATGGTATGATGTTTTCTTGAGAAATTGCCTGGAGCCGATATAAATATTAAATTTTAGATTTTACATAAATTATTTCATTTAACTTTCTTCTTCTTCAATCAGAAAAAACAATTAATGGATAGAAAAATGAGCACTGTTGGTTCATTCGAAAAAATATACCTGAAAAATTGCTTTGAATTGATGTTAAATATCAAAGTTTAGATGTTAGATAAGTAATTGCATTTTATTTTTCTCCTTTAATCTGGAAAACTATTTTATGGAAAGAAAACAAGCACTATTGGTTATTTTGAATTATACCCATGAAAAATTATTTCGAACTGAAACAAGTAATTATATTTCACTTCCTCAGTTTCAATATGAAAAAGCATTTTATGGAGAGAATATGAGCCCTGTTGATTATTTTGAAAAGGTTCACCTGAGAAATTAATTTGAGCCAATGTAAACATCAAAGTTTAAATGGTACATAAGTTATTTCATTTCATTTTCCTCTTCCTCAATCAAGAACAACATTTAATTGATAGAAATATGAGCACAATTGGTTCTTTCAAAAAAAAAATATCTAAAAAATTACTTTGAGTTTATCTAAATATTAAAGTTTAGATGTTAGATAAATAATTTCATTTTACTTTGCTCTCCTTAATCTGAAAAAATATTTTAAGAGAATTATGAGACCTAAATATCAAAGGTCATACTTTCTCTTGCTGTGAATTTAGATTGACCACTATTCCAACAGAGTGTCAAAAATGCTTTTCTAAATAGGAATCCCACAAAGGAGGTGTTCATGTGCCTCCCTCCAGGTTTTGACCCTGCAGTCTCTCGGGAACAGGTGTGTTGACTGCAGAAGTCTCTCTACAGACCGAAGTAATCCCTAAGGGTCTGGTTCAACAAGTTCACAAAAGTGGCAATGGGTCATGGTTTTTCTCAAGCTCACATAGACCATACTCGCTTCTTTAGACACTCCTCCAGTGGTAAAATTGCAATACTTATCATCTATGTCGACAGTATTGTTCTCATGGGTGATGATTTACAAATTCTTCCTCTATTTACATTGTCTTTGAGCCCATATTATTTTTGCAACAATCTCATTATATTAATTTTACGTTTATTATATGTTTTTTTTTCTACTTTCTCATTTTAACATTATGTATCTTTGTACTGCAACTGTGGTATTCAATATTGTGTATACACATCTCGACGAGAAGCTAGCTATGAGAGAAGGTTTTATAAGTATCTCAGAAATAGAACTTTTGATGATTGTGACTTTTTAGATGGACTAAGAAGTGTGAGGACTCCACTTAAGAAAACAACAATGTGTAAATAGTAACTTTAGAAAGAAAATTCTACAAGAGACTTGATCGTTTGGACATGAATACTAGTATTATAATAATATTATTTGTTCTTAGTTTAATTATAATTTTTTTGTTCTTTATCAATGCTAGGGAATGTATAACTTTTTAATGTAATATTTTCGACTTCTGACTTTTTGTAATATTTTGAAATTTAATTCTGATGTTTTGTTTGAATTATTTATGAAACTGTGCACTTATTACTACAATCTGCAATGGTATTATAGTCTTTCTTTAAGAAACAGCTACAGCACAACAGTTTTATAGCTGAACAATCCAAACAGACTGCAACAGGTTTTCCTGACAATATCTTTACAATAACAGCTGTCCCAAAAAGACCCTAAACAACCAAACAAGGACCAAGAGTTAGATGTAGTGTAAAGCAAAAAAAGCGAATTCAAGGCATCTAAAAGCATTACAGAAAGAGAGCCTAGGGGGCAATGCCAGTAATAAGAATTAACAAAAAGCGTATAAGAAAACTAATGTACAAAAAAGCATGATGAGAAAAAACCATGGGCAATATAAAACTTTATACTACCATAATTAATGAAGATGTATTTAAACCTACTATTTTCTCCATAGGTTTTTACAGATTTTCCGTAGTTTCCTATTTTAGATCTTTTGAAGTTTGAAAATATGACCCACGGGGCAATATAAAATTCACTGGACATTTAGTACTAACATAAATTTTTAGTTTTTTCTTTTTTTCACGTGTTCTTGTTAAGTGTTGCACATGTGCGGACAGCTACTTCCAGAGGGAGACTCCTTGTACCAAAGTGAGGACTAATTTTTCCTTTTAGTGTGATTTTTATCCTTATTCTAATTTTTTAATTATTTAGCTGCTAGTTTTGCATAGTAACTTTTGTCAGAAAAGATACATGTTGGGCTTTCTTTTGAAACGTCAACTTTATTAATTGTTCAATTTTATCATTCGTCATGACCTTATGAAATTTCAAATTTTGGGCAATTGTTACATAAACTCGTGGTGAATAAAGCATGATTATTATGCATGCTACAAAAGCAATAAGCTTTTGTTAAAATTATGAATTAATAACATGTGAATTATGATTCTATTTTATTTTCAACTATCATATCATCCTAAATTGTATTATAAACCCTAACACCCTACCCATTCTATAAAAACTGTTGAACAAATAAACATTATAAGGATCAAAAAATAAATTTAAAACTGAACAAAACAAATTTAAAATTTAATGCATAGATAAAAATCACCTTTCCACTTTCGTCCTGGATCAATTGAGAGAGCATTCAGAACCATAGACAGGCTTGCTAAACCACAGTAGGAAGGCTCAGACTGTGTTTGGAAATAGGAAATCAGCTTAAAAAATCCTTCCATGGTTCCACTTTGAAGAGCTTCTGAGAACAGTTGCTGGTCATTTCAGAGCAGTTGGAAAAGGTAAGCAATCAACATAACAAACCAGAAAGGATTTGCTAAATTCCAAGGCAATGTAAAAGGAAATTTCACGAAATAATTAAATTCAACAGGACCTCCCTCACTTTTAGTTGAGGTCTAGTTTTTCCTCTTTGGTAGCCTAGGGTCTAGCCATAGGACTTTGTTGTTGTTGTTGTTGTTGTATAGAGAATAGAGCATATCTGAAATGTCCTTTGCAAAAGAGGGTGGGAATTTTGTTGGGAAAAAAGATGATCTGATACTTTAATTTCAATCATCATCTAAAAATTCAATAAATGCAGTCATACAAAAGCAAATAATGTTGCACAGAACATTTTCTAATATTACGTCAATAAAATTTTTTGTTTATCAAAACAGTTTCAACCCAGGTTGTAGGAGATTAGAGAGTTCACTGAGAATTTTTCCTTCAACACGAAAGTGCAAGTTGAAGGTGATTCACGAGAAAAAACTTACCTCACAGTCCACCACTGACAACACCCACTAATCAGTTTTTGAATGTTCTTAAGCAGTTTGGTGAGACTTAAGATCAATAATAAGTACAGAAATAGACTTCTAACTGAAATCAATTTCATAAAAGGCTATCTTTAAACGGATTACAGCAAACTTTCTTATCAACAATCCTACCGTGAGTGGTTTTACTATGCAATTGCTAAAATGCACCCCCATTTTGACTCTTATGAGGAACTACATAGGACCCTTATTTGGGCTGCATTTCGTTGACTTTGTTTATATTTTTTTAACCAATTCAATTTATACTCTGTTGGAAGTAATCTACCTATATACTCTATTAAGACGTATTTTATTTCCGTCACACAGAATATATTTTAATATTTGTTTGTTTCCTTCATTAAATATTTCCCATTTTTCTGATTTTCTATTTCTGTAGGATTCCTAATTTAAAGGAATTCCAGTTTCCTAATTTGCGGACTGGTATAACGGCCACTCTATTACTTAATATAAATCTTTCTCAGAATTTTCATATGGTATTAGGGACTTGAGAAGCCTCTTTCATTTGCGTTCGTGATCGCAGCCCTATTCCTCAACAGCTACTTCATTTCTACCATCCTTTGAAATCTTTGAGATCAAAGGATGCCAAGGTGTTCACTGCGTCTCTAAAGACAGATCCATCCAGCGAAGCTCCAAACCAAGCTTCCTCGTCACCGTCGACGATGATGAATCCAAAAGACTCTCCAACATTATCTTTGAAGCCAACCATAACCTCCGTCTCCAACTCTTGTATGCACAAGTCACAAACCTCGCTCATCCCCTCCGTTTGAACAGGTTGTAGAACTGCTCAAACACTCCGTTCGAACAGATCATAGAACAGTTCTGAGGCCGATTCAACTCTTGTCAATGATTTCTGCAGATTGTTAGAATGCTCAAATCGATTTTCGCAGATCGTTTCTTTTACAAATTGTTTCTCGTCGGTTTGCTAAAACAACGAATGATTCGGTCCGTAAGATCGATTCGACTTGCCCTAGCCGCCTTCTCATGAGTTGTCGAATTACAAATCCTCTTGCCTAGTGAAGAACTCTTGGAAACCGAGAGAAGCACACCTCCCTCTAGTTCTTGTTCGCTAGTCCAGCCGAGAAAGTGGATAAAGGACCATCCTCTCGCTTTTGTTCGAAAAACAAGTCTTCTCAATTCGGTCTTCATAATCTTATCATGGCCAAATACAACATAGCATCACAATCTTTTACCTCAAAAGTCACCTCTAGATCTGAGCTTGCATCTTCAGTTCCTATCGTACTTAATAACTTATCTCACGTAATCACTAATCATAAATTGCACAACCAAAATTTTTTTCAATGGTCACAATTCGTTTTCATGTACGTTTGTGGTAGAGAGAGAGAAAGACATGTCACAAGCGAAATTTCAACACTATAAATGACATTCAATACCAGTGCTGAAAAACTAGCAACCACTTGATTATGTCATGGTTAATAAATTCCACGATCACAGAGATTGAAGAAATTTCCTGCTCTATAGAACAACCAAGGAAATATGGGAGGATGCACATGAAACCTACTCTAGCACTGAAAGCTCCTCAGAGTTATTTGAGATTGTGCAACTGGACATGTACAAGATTTATTCTTAGAAATGCTTTGATGACTTTGCCTTGTATAGAAAAATTATTGAACAAAAGTGGACCGTCAAATTTTACCTTGGCCTTAATAAAGACCTAGATGAAATCATCAGGGCACAATCATGGGAATTAAGCCCCATTCAATCATCTGAGAATCATTTGTAGAAGTTAGAAGGGTAGAAAGCAGAAAAAAATTAACGATGACAGACAATCACCCCACACTATTTATTGAAGGATCCGCCTTGCAAACTCACAACTCCTCTCTGAATAATAGGCAGGGAAAAGGACGACTGTGGTGCTACCATTGTAAGAAACTCGGTCAAGTAAAGGAAACATGTTAGAAATTAAACAAAATGCCTACATATTGGAAGACATCCAATGAAAGACATGATAGAGAGAACCGTGGAAATATTCTTATCACAACCAACAATAATGCAAAACTTAATTCATTCAGCATGAAGCAAATTGAGGCAATGTAGAAAGTGGTGGGTCATAATTACAATTTTGGACAAGTACCACAATCCTCTACCGAGCAACCTACCAGTCTGTTAGCACATCATCGTTAGATAAGTCATCTATCAGGTTGTATTTCTAAGTCTAAATCAATTTTTTTCAATCTAGTTTCCAATTCTAAGTCCTGTTTAGTTAAAAATCAAGTGAGGTTAAGGTATTGTTGAATTGGTCATTCAAATTATACTACTATTAAAAAAATATTTTCAAGCCCTTTTATAAATAGAAAGTGTAATTTATGTCAATATGAAATGTGACAACTTACAAAACATACTAGACATGTCTACTCTAAATTACAATACAAGCCCTCATATCTTTTTCTTGTACTTTACAGTGATAACTGAAAAACACCCCAAGTAAAAATTCATAGATGATCATGCTAGGACTAATTGGACATTCCTTGTAAAATAAAATTCTGAAACTGACATTATATTTCAATCATTTCAAACCATGATCCTTACTCAATTCCAAAGCAAAATTTAACTTCTTAAAAATTGATGGTAATAAGAAATATTTTAATTTCATTCTTGATCCTTATATTTCAAAGCATTGTATTATCCATATAAATAGGATCGATGAGAGGAAGAATAGACATTTATTTGAAAGGATCGATGAGAGTAAAAATAGACATTTATTTGAAATGACCCGTGTCATTATGATATGTAATCATCTGCCTAAACACTTTTGGGAGGAAATTATATTCACCGACGCATCTTTTAAATAGAATGTCAAGTTGATTCTTAAAACTTCAAATTCCTCAAAATGTTCTCATGGAATCCTATCCACATATCTGCCCATTTTCTTCTGACTTACCATTCAAAGTCTATGGTTGCTTCACCTTTGTTCACATCCTCCAACAACATTGTAGCAAATTTAATCTCAAATCTCTTAGATGCATCTTTATTGGTTACTCCTACAACCAAAAATGATATAAACGTTACTCTCCAATCACTATAAAAATATATAACTCTGGATGTCACATTTACTGAGAATCAATCTTACTTTCCCAAATTTGAAATTTAGGAGAACTCGAGAGAGTGTCAAATTTGGGACCTTCTCCAAGACACTCAAATTAAATCAAATCTTGTCACTCAAACAATTGAACCAAATCCAACCACTCAACCAATTCCACTTGAAGAACCAAATTATGTGATTGAAACTATCTCAATTTTCTCTACTCCACCTTCACTTAGTGATCAAGAACTTCATGCGAAACTATCTCAATTTTCTCTACTCCACCTTCACTTGATATTAGTGATCAAGAACTTCATGTATATACGAGAAGAAAAAAACCACTGAGCATATACAGGGCACCATGCAGATCAGGAACTGACAAAAACTAGAATCAAGTCCTCATGCATCTAATAATCATAATGGTGTAGATTCCTTATCTCATATCTGAAGGTGCACTGATCATCCAATCTAAACATAAGTAGCTTATGGAAAAATTGTTACAACCTTATAGGGCTTTTGTGATAAATCTCAATAGTTTGCAAGTTCCCAACTCTATTAAAAATGCTATAAAAGTTCCAGCATGGAAACAAGCAGTTGAGGAAAAACTCGAGTTCTATTAAATAATAACATATGGCACTTACAGGATTACCTCATAAGAAAATCACGAAGGTTGAAAATGAATATTCACTGTTAAATACAAAGGAGATGCAAGTGTAGAAAGACTCAAAGCCATACTGGTAAGATTGAGTACCAAAAAACCTTTGCATCTTTTTCCAAGCTCAATATTGTTCGGTTCTAATCTCACTTGCAATAAATCAAGATTGGCCTTTTTACCAACAGGATGAAAAAAAGCCTTTTTAAATGAGAACATTGATGAAAAAGTCTACATGAGTATACCTCCCAACTTAGAAATAGGTCAAACAACAACAGTTTGCAATTTGAAAAAGTCCTTATATTGTTTGAAGCAATCTCATTGTACATGATTTGACAGGTTTACTAAAACTGTGATTAAAAACAGATATCATCAGTGTCAAACTGATCATATACTATTTGTTAAGTCCAACCCCAGAGTCAAAAGTTCTGCAAATCGTGATATTGAGATATACACAGATGCTAGTTGGGCATAGGAGATAACTGATAGAACATTAACCACTGGGTACTGTCATAAATTTGGGGCAATCGTCAATTGGAGAACCAAGAGAACAAGTTTTTGTCTATCGAAGTAGTGAAGAATCTGAATTTCGTACCCTTGCAGTAGAAAAATGTGAAGGAATGTGGCTTCCAATACTATTAAGAAAACTTAAAATTGTGATGTACAGTGATAGTCGAGCAATTATTAGTATAGTCAAAAATCACGCGCACCATGATAGAACAAAACACGTCAACATTGACCAA